ACATGGGGCAGCATCTCTTTCTGCAGAACTTCCTTTGCGTATTTGATTCTTCGCTCCTTTGTCACTCCGGGTTTCGCTCCTCTGGAACCGATAAAGTTCAGCGCCACATTTTGCTCCTGGATCACAAACGCTTCGTCCAGAGACGGCTTCACCTGGGAACACAGTGACACCGCTGCTTAATGGGCGGGGCTAGGACTGACTACCTGCGGGTTCTCCATCAGTGTGATCGGTGCAATAACTGATCAATAACTGCTTATCAGACTGACCATCTCCATCATTTCAGGGTCGTCAAAGTCGTAGATGATGTGCTCCAGGATGTCTCTGTCCGACACGAAGCCCAGAGCTCGGAACACGATGATGATGGGAACCTCCTGTCTGATGTAGGGCAGCGTGGATACAATCCTCTGACCGATCGCGCTCTTCTTCACCCCCTGAGAGGAAACCGATCAATAATCAATCTGTTGCTCTAATAATTAAGTTAATGAGCTGAAACATTGTTTTCTTGTCGTCTGTTGTGCAGCTATCTCTTTGTGTAACGATGTTGGGGACATTGTGTATGTGTGTATCTCGGTGAACACCAGAACTCACCTGTCCTCCTCTGGCCATCATGCTGACCCAGATGGTGCTGGTGGGACGAGACGAGTTCTCCAAACAGGACCGGCACTCGGCTGTGTAGGCGTACTTTGAGTCCTTCTTGGCAAAGACGTACACTGTGTTGGTGGCCATCTTCTCCTGAGCAATCAGCACCTGAAACCACCAACACACTTGATGTCAGAGTGTCTCATACTGCAGTCCAAGAATCTCTGAATACGAAGCTGCAGCCGTAGCTTCGCTTAACTGAGCTACTAGTGTTGTGTAAAGACTTTGGCTGATGTCACACGGTGCGTCATGATGTCATAGCATACCTTCTCAGAGCCATTGATGATGAAATAACCTCCAGGATCAAGCGGACACTCGTTCAGCTCACACAGGTCTCTGTCCGTCAGGCCACTCAGTAGGCAGTAGGTGGAGCGAAGCATGATGGGAATTTTACCGATAAAGGTCTTCTGGTGTTGAGTCTGCAGCTGGTCCTCCCCCTCCTTTATGATGGTCTTTGTGATGTCAACATACAGGGGGGCTGAGTACCTGAGGGGAGACACAGGTGAGACCAGGTGAGAGTGAGTCTATAGTGGGTCATGTTTTAGGATGTTTTTGTGATCTGAGACCAGCAGAGAGCAGCTGAGACCTACGTGAGGTTTCGTAGTCGTGCCTCATTGGGCATCATGGGAGAGGGAGCGCCATCTCTCTCCCAGTGGGTGGGCTTGGACAGGTAGATCTGCTCAAACTTCAGCAGGTAACGAGGCTAAGACAGAAAACAGAAATCACAGCGATGTCACATTAATGAGCACATGAGCAGCAAGAACGAGAATCCTCCCAAAGTGAAACTAATCCCCCCTGTAACACCCAAACTGTGTCCCAGTCTCAGGTCTAGTCTGTGGTCACGATTTGTTGCTCACCGGCTCCTCCACCTCCCCAGATGTGTGCTGGGCTTCAGCCTGCAGGTCGATGGGTGGAGCGTCCTCAACGATCCTCTGAACCGACATCTGGATGAACTCATCGAACGAATCCAGTTGCTGCCGCACCAAACCCTTCTCATCAAAATAAGAGCTAAGAGAGAAAGAGAGAGAGGTTCATCAAAATAAAAGGTGGAAGACAGAAGGTTGTCAAAATAAGAGCAGAGAGACAGAGGTGCTGTTTATCATGTAGAGATAATCTCAGTCCGTTTCTTTTCGGTGTGACATCAGGGTTGGGTTACCTTCTATGAGCTGTGAGAGGAACATACATGATCGGAAGGATGTTTGATATTTCATTGAATCAGTTATCTGCTGGTAGTTTTACATGTGTGTGACCCAAATTCAGCAGAATTCAGTTTTCACATCTTTATCGCTCTGGTAGCGACACACTGAGTATTAACGACAATCAATACATCTCTACAACAGCTTCGCTCAGGTGGGATCCAGGTGAGTCTACCTGATGACGATCCAGCACGCTTCCTGCCACAGATCTGGAGTGATTTCATCATCGTCTTCATCATACTGATTATCTGATAAACAGAGATGTCAGTGATCAATACACCACATAATAGCACGACTGAACAACATCTGCTGACTCTTTGTTTACGCTGTATTTTAGTTTTGAACTGGAGAATCAGCAACTTCAGCCTGTTAATATTTAATAATGCTGTAGTATATGTTGCTAGTATTACCGAAGTACATTAACACACCCACAGTGTAATATGTACTTTGATATGATTACCATGTTAGCTGCACCGCGCCATTAGCAATAGCTGTTGTTGGCATTGGCCGCAGTTAGCATGTGGCTCAATGAAAACTTGTGGTGTCTGATGAAGCTAGCGTTAGGTCGTGTGGTAAATAAAGCTAAATTTAGGCTGTGTGTTATACGAGGCCAGCCTTATGTTCTGTGTTACATGAAGCTAGCGTTACGCTGTGTGTTAAATGAGGCTAACTTCATACTGTGTCTGAGGATGCTAACGCTAGGTTGTGATGCTGCTGTTAGCTTTGTGCCTCACTCACGACCGGACCGACAGAAAAGATAAAAGTGAAGCAGCAGCTCACCTTCGTCCTGGTCGTACATGTTTTATCTCCAGAAAAAATTCAACTTAGACAAACTAAAGTCCGACCGACGTCGCGCCGCGGAAAATGAATGTCACTTCCGGTGTTTTCTTCTTCGTCCTCTGAAACGTCAGACTCGGACGCAGCAGATGCATGTTGCTGCCCCCAGTGGTTAGAGGCAGAACTGACACAGGTAAACCCTGGAGGCGAGTCCTGCATGGTGGAGAAACTCAGCCACAGATTTGTTTGCTTCACGGTGTTGACGATTGATGTCAGTGATTGGCATGCTTTTCCAGTGCCATTGCAGAACGTTTATTTTGGTTGCAGCTTTTCCATCATTTATATTCTTGGATCCATCGGTGTAAATTTTTTAGAATTCTGCATTTAAAAATTTGATTTTATTTTTTTAAAGATGGTTGCTAACTAACATCGTAGGATCACCTGCATCTGTCTTCATGTTCTTTGGGACCTCAGGTTCTGGCAGAAGCCAAAGTGGAACAGATGGAACAGGTGACCAGAACGCTGCCAGGCCCATCCACAAACCTTTATACGTCCACTGTCTCTGTTCATGGAGTTTACGCAGTTTGCTCCTTGCTTTTCCTCACTTTCTTTGACGTTCCCAGTGCTTTCCTAACAAATACTCAGAAGGAATTTAGGACTTGTAACTGGGCAGCTAAGACCAGTAGAACCAGTGGAAGACCAGTAGAACAAGGTTGCTCATTCTCAGCTAAAACATGCTTTCACCCATTTCAGTTTCAATAGTATAAGTTCTTTGGCCTGCACCACATCTGGAGTCTTTGGAACATAGGTCTCCACTGTCCTTTACGCTCTAGCCTCCTACACCCATTCTCAGTCACAGATTTTATAGTTGCTATGTATGTCCTTTATCTGTTGTAAAGACATTTGTTATGTTCCTTTATGTGCTCCTCAGTCACCTCTTTTGAGACACTGCATAATGTAAATGACTTTCTCGCACTTCATGTTTTAACTCTTTCAACAGACTTGTTATGTAGCCAGAGCTCCTGTTGTGGTGCTTTCCTTTTTGAAACCAAAAACCACAGAGTTTTTAAAAACCACATCTCTGCCTGTGCCACGTTGTCTGTTGTCCTCTCAGTTTGGACCATGACACTGCAGCCTTTACCTGCTGGTCAGTATACATAGACATCCTGTGCACACATGTAGGTTCGGACAGTCTTCAGAGTTTGTCCAGGATTAGTCTTGAAGATGAAGAGAGTTAAACTCAGCTAACTCTGGTAACCCTGAGTTGACTGGGAGGAGTCTCCAATCAAAGGAAGCATCATCAATTTGATGTGACTTTAAGTCAAACAGTGACACCTGCAGGTAGAAGGTGTGACTGCAGCAGTAAGCAGTGATTTTTCCCTAAGATAAAGTCAACAACATGAACTCCCAACTAGAGGAGAAGAAGAAGAAGCTGTAGAAACACCAGGAAGACACTCAAAACATTAAATATGGTCTGAATATTGAATCTGTTCCTGATGTTCTCCCGCAGTGGCTCTGATGTTCTCCTGCAGTGGTCCTGATGTTCTCCTAATGTGGTCTTGATGTTCTCCTGCAAAGGTCCAGATGTGGTCCTGATGTAGTCCTGCAGTGGCTCTGATGTTCTCCTGCAGTAGTCCTGGTGTGGTCCTGATGTTCTCCTGTAAAGGTTATGATGTGGTCTGGATGTTTTACTGCAGTGGTTCTGATGTGGTCCTGACATGGTAGTGATGTTCTCCTGGGGCAGGTCCTGATGTTCTTCTGCAGAGGTCCTAATGTGGTCCTGATATTCTCCTAATGTGGTCCTGATGTTCTCCTGCAAAGGTCCTGATGTAGTCCTGATGTTTTAATGCAGCGGTCCTGATATTCTCCTAATGTGGTCCTGATGTGGTGAAACGTCCTTAGGAACCTAAACGAGAAGTCCAGTTGCTTTCAGGTTCAATTTAAATGTAACTTAACGCTAATTCTAACACAGTGGCAGGAGTTTCCCATCAGAGTGGTTCTGGTTCACGTTATTCTTTGTACCTGATGTTCTGTTTTGGTCTGATATGTGTTGTTTGTGCACAGATACTCGTGTTTTTCAGATGCTCTCTGTTAATTCTGTTGGTTTGTGTAACTATGTTGCTGCGCAGACTCGTGACAGTTCTGTTTATTCTGACTTGTTTTTGTGCCCTCGTGTTTGCTCCGGAGTCACTCTGTGTCACTCATCCCGACCGTTTTCACTCCGTCAGCACTATTTTGCCACAGACAGAATGTTAATCCCGAGATTAAAGCCTGAACAAAAGCCAGAAGCAGCCATGACAACAACAGAAGGTCACATTGTTGCGCTCGTCGTCTATATGACAACAGCCTCCAAGGGCAGAGTCAGAACCACAGAGGACCTGGACAGGGACACATCAGCACAGATTCAACCTCTTCTCTCACAGTTTCAGCATTTTTCATCCGACCTTCTGAGATTTCAACCACGATGTTCGCTAAAAGTCTTCTGCTCATCTGTGTAACCGTTTTCATTTGTGCAGGTAAGAGTGGCCCAGTTCAGGTGTGCCAACAGTGACAGGTGTAGAAACAACTGCTAAGACATTACTCCAGTTGTAACGGTGCAGCATCATTTATTAAATAGCTATTTTGAAGGATAACTTAGAACGTATCCCATCTGGATGATCATTTATGACAAGCTGCTGTAACTGTCCAGATAAAACTACATCAATGTGGGAACTAATGTGAGTCTGTGTGTGTTTCAGATGCTGAGGACAAGTCCAGGCTCTACAGGAGGGTAAGAGACAAACCTACTGTCATTACAGCTTTTTGTCTATTACTTGAAAACACTTCAGGGTGGTAAACTAACTCAGCTGGATTTTAAAAGTTAATCTGTTCAACCACGATATTACTTTTGAATTTCTCTTGACATTTCTTTAAAGTTGTCCTGTCTGGAAATCTGACGTAGAAACTGTTTGCTGTGGAAACGATGATTTTTTCTTCATCAGTACACAGGTTCTTATGGGTTTAAGTCAGAACTTTAGGGAGACCAGTCTACAACCTTAATTCCTGCCTGATTAGGCCATTTCTTTGCCATTTTTGATGCGTGTTTGGTGTCGTTGCTTTGTTGGAACAACCACCTGCACCAGTTCCACTGGCACCAAAACAGCCCCAGAGCATGATGCTGCCACCTCCATGCTTGGTGGTAGGTTTGGTGTTCTTAGGTTAAAGGCCTCACCTTCTCTCATGCAAAAATGTTTCTGGTCATTGTGGCCAAATAGCTTAATGTCTGACCACAGAACTTTCCTCCAGAAGGCCTTTTCTTTGTCCATGTGACCAGCAGCAGACTTCAGTGGAGCTTTAAGGTTCTGCTTCTAGAGGAAGAACTTCCTTCTTCATCAGCCTTTCAGCTCATGTTGATGTCAGACCCTGTGGACACTGACAGCTGTGTTCCAGCAGCTTCTGATCCATCCAGAGCTGCTTTCTGCTGATTCCTGGTTGACTCTTGACCATCTTGACCAATCGTCTCTCAGCAGCAGCTGGTAGTTTGTGTTTTCTTCCAGATCGTGGCAGCAACACATCTGGACCATGAACTTTATACTTAAAAAACAGTTGTTGGCACAGATGACTTTGGAAGCTGAAGCTGCTTTGACATGGTTCCAAGTGACTTTCTGACTTGTTCAAGTCAATGACTTTCTTCTTCAGATCTTTGCTGTGCTCCTCAGACTTTGCCCCGGTTAGTGTACGTGGATGAGTCAAGTGAGTGCATCAAATAGGCGTTATTTAAATCGGCTCAGAGGAGCTGTAGTCAGTCACAATCATACCACTAAGACATTTTGAATAACACAACTTTCTACATCACTAAAACTGATAATCAAACATGCTGCATGTATATTTTTGACCAGCAGAGTTTGTCATTTTTCCAGAAGACCTGTGTGAAATCTATGACAGAATCAAAATGCATGATTGTTTTTTTTTTGTAATGACCAAGATGCATTTCAAAGATTTCATCATAGAGAATTAAGAGTCATTAAGAAACTCCAGACTGATATGATATACATGATCTTCACAAGCATGTAAACTTCTGGTCACAACTGCATATGAGGAGGAAGTGAAACCAGCAGATTTAACACTACTGACTAACATTAAACATTAAACCACGAACCCCGACCGCATAATTCTGGATCCTGTCTCCCTGAGGTCTGAATACTAAGTTCTAACCCGACTAACAGTGGACCTTTGACCTTGGTCCCAGTATCTCCAGCCCTGACCCACGAGTTACTGATCCTCTGGAGTCTGGCTTAGGATGGCATCTTGTGTCTGGCTTGTGCGCTCTCGTGTGTGTTTGTTGAATTGTGTTTTGTGTTTCTGCTGCAGCCCTCCTGTGTGGGGATGACTGTGACTCAGGCCTGTCCTCTGAGTTACTCTCCCGTCTGCGGCACTAACGGCATCACCTACCCAAACGAATGCTCCCTGTGCGTGGACAGACTGTGAGTACGCAGCGATGGACTAACGTCAGATAACAGCTCACTCTGTTAGCTGCATTTGGTAAAAACTGAAAAGATAAAACTGGAATAATCCTAACTGCTATTAAACTCTTGGTAGTCAGACACATAGGTTTGTTTTGTACTGGACACCTTAAATTGTGGCTCCAGATGCTTTGGCAAGTTACTGTGATGTCACAATTTTGGGTTTGTTTTGCAAAAATATGCGTCTTCATACTGAATACTTGTTGTTCTTAATGAGAACTAATACATGTTAAAAGATAATATGTGAAATTGTTCCACACACCTGTGCACAGGTAGAAGCAGAAGAGTGATTATGAGCGGATATAAAACCCTGTTCAACTGAATATTAATTACTGACTTTTCTCTTCAGGGAAAAAAGTGTGGACATTTTGATAGTGAGGGACGGCCCCTGCTGATAATGACATCGCCTCACTAACCGATGACATCGTCCTTGTTCTTCTCAACCAATGATGTCATCCCTTGCATCTTGGACTACAGTTTGATTGTAGCTAATTAGCTGTTAGCGTGTGGCTAACACATGAATAAACATGACTGTAGCTGTATGTGCTCATAGTTTAGACACATCTATTGTACAAGGGTGAGTCTTATATTTTCATATGTCTGCAAAACATTTTTTCATTCCAGTCTTTCACAAATAAAGATTTTATTTCCTCTGGGGTTTAGTGTCAGTTATTATTAACACAGTATTGTAATGCTTTTGGGTGGTTGGGTTCAGGGAAACAGATCCTGCTGGTTGGGGAACAGGGATGAATGTGAGGATCCCATCACTGCTCCCTGACAACTGTTGAGAGTTTGTCTGCTGCTTTTAAACCCACTTTCAGACCTGAACTATGTTGTGATAATCCGTCAGCTCCGTGTCTGAATGCACACTTCAGTCATGCTTCTGTAAAAGTCCTGTTTCACTTTCAACGTTTCTCCAATCTAAACAGAACCGACACATTAACAGTTGGAATTAGAACAGAAGAGAAATTATTTTCAGGAGTGGCACAGATAAAAACAGAAAGAAAGCTACATCTGCTTCGTATATAGTTATATATATTTGTATTTAATTGATTTTATACAGGGCTGCAAGGTGGGTCGGTGGTTAGCACTCTTGCCTCGCAGCTAGAAGGTCATCGGTTTGCGTCCCAGTGGGGGCAATCCTTCTGCGTGGAGTCTCCATGTTCTCCCCGTGCAGCGTGGGTTCTCTCTGGGTTATCCGGCTTCCTCCCACAAGGTCCAAAAACATGTTGAGGTTAATCGGTGATTCTTCGTGGTAAACATGTTTTTATGTGGTATACAAAGACAAAACTAACAGTATGCAAAAACGGCCAAAACAGACCAAGACCTCTAAGGTGACAAAAGTAATAATAAATAAATAATTTAGGAAAAATCATGACATTGCTTTTAAATTGTGGTTCAACAGAAATATTTAAAAAAAGAAGAAAAAACAAGCATGATAGGAGCTGTAAACTAATATTTAGTTGAACAACCCTCTGAGCCAATCACTGCCATCAGGTGTTTTCTGTAACTCTCAGTCAGACTTCTGCACCTGGCGACAGGTATTCTGGTCCACTGCTCATCAGCAAAGTGCTCTAATTTGTCTGGGACAGTTTTTATTTTTTGATTATTCTTTTCAACCACAATTCTAAAGCAATGTCTTATTTCCCTAAATTACAATTTAGAATTTAAAAAAAAATTATTACTATTACTTTTTTCAGTTTCTAGCTATTTGAGTGACTATTGTCAGTTTTGCCTTTTCTTTAATGGAAGTCATGAATACATTTGAGGACGACTGTACTACAGAATGACACTGTGCCTTAAAATTACATTAAAAATAACCCTTTAAAATGTAGAAATATTAGAGTCGTTCAACTCTGACTCTAAAGTCAGTGTAGTTGTTGGACAGAGAGGATTTTTCGAATCTCAGCTGATTGTAACCTGAGAAGGGGGCGGAGCTTCAGCAGCCTGAGAGTCCAAACTGCGGGTGAAGCGGCCCAGGTGTCCGGTGGCACCTGCTGCTGCTGCTGGGCAGGTTAATGATAAACCGTCCACCTGCTCGACACCGAAACCAGCCAGCAACCCGGAACAAACACGACACTGGACAGAAACACAGTCAATGAGACTTTCCGGAGTTAAAAAAAAAAAACAACAACAACAAACTGGAATATTCTACTTTTAACAGGCTCATGTTAGTGACACAGAAATCCAGCATCGGAGCCTGAAGCTGCCTTTAAGTTTCGCCCACCAGCTCGCTCAACTCCACCGGCGGGAAAGTGCCTGAAAATGGACCGACACCGGTACTTCATCTTCAACCAGAGGAGCGTCCTCATCTTCGGCATTCTCCAGGTGGCCTGTGCGGGTCTTTGTGTCATCTGCGGGTTCATGGACGCCGTTTTCCGCAAAGATACGCCGCTGAGCAGCACCAGGACGCCGGTGTGGGGAGGGCTGGTGAGCCTCCATCACGGACACTTGGTCTAGTCATTAGGAGAGGGCTTAAAAGTTTGTTAATTAAGTCTACAGGTAGTCCTGCTGTAATTAAAAGTATGCCGACAGTAGATTTATATGAACTTAGACTGCTGTGATCATTTATTATTAACGTCCCGTTAATGTTGGCCTTTGTACTTCCGGTTCTGTCTTTCAGGTCATGGCCTGTCCAGGTGTTCTGGCGCTGTTTGCCTCCCAAAGGAAACACTCGGTCCTGGTATGTGTCCTTAGTTTAACCGAGAATAGTCAACTGGTGGCATCATTTTATTTTCTCTTTTTTCCAGTCTCCAGTCCTTTGTTGTGGGGACTTTTGGACATTTATTTTGAAAATCCACAGTTGCAGCCAAGTTTAAAAAATGGAAAAATGTTAGGGTCTTATATTTTTTGTGAAATCAGGTCTTTACATTTTTTTTTCTGATAAATTAGCAGTTTTAGAGCCGACAACCAGCCACCAGGTTATCAGGAACACCTGCTTGGTCACAAGTCCCACTTTTATGAAGCTTCTGCTTTTCAGTTTTTGTTGATGTTGGCAGACAGGAACAGGAAACACTCAGGACTATGTGTCATTATTTGACCAAGAATAGTCAGCTGGTGTCACTATTTTCTTTTTTTCCCATCTCCAGTGCTTTTTTGTGGGGACATTTGGGCATTTATTTTGAAAATCTCCAGTTTAAACCCCTGAAAAGTAGCTCTAGCAGCTCACCTGTTGAACTATTCTGAGTTACACGGTTGTAATATTGCAGTAATTCTGATTTTGAAGGCGAGTAACTACACAGAAGTCCCCACCTTGTAAGTTATCAGAGTTTATTCTTGAGGTTTGTTATGTGTGTAAATCTAAATCTGTGTTCCTGAGACCGCTTGTTTTACTCATGATGTGTCTTCCAGCATGTTAAATCATAAAATATTATATTCTTTATACAGATATTTGTCCTGTTTGCATTTAGTCAAACTTGAAGTATTGAGATACTGGATTTCTTAAAGTATTTCACTTTTCATGTAATAAATGTAGAATTTATCACATTTTCACTTTCTGTCGAAACATATTTTAACTTTTTCACGATGACCTAATTTTTTTTGCAGCTGCGCCTGTCGTTGGCGAGTAAGAAAAACACTCGCTTTCCACACACGTTGTTGTTTTCTCGCCTGAACTTGTGCGTCTGTCCTCAGGTGAGTGCGATGGTCGTGGCTGCAGGACTTTCCTTCGTCACTGCAGTCTTCACATCGAGCTACGCCTGTCTGACTCTCACCTACGGGGAGGAGGACCAAGAGGTCTTCCACCGTCACAACAGTCCTGAAGTGGTAACCTCCAAACATCTTTTTTACAAATAATTTCTCGTCAAACAAAGGTGTAAATGAATAATACCTGCTGGCTGCGTTCCATTTAGACGTAACCACAAAGTGTACATACAAAAAGGACGTAACCTCTCAAACATCCAGGATTCTTTGTGGGACAAACCTAAAGCCCCGGTCAGAGGAAAGGTGGTTGTTGACCAGGATTTCTTCTTCAGAAACATGTGACCTATTGTGTGGCGCCTAATTCAGTAAACAGGTTGTTCTAATGGAGAACAAAAGTGCTGCTACTGCAAAAGATGCAGGACAGGAATGCTGGTAGAAAACTGCTGATCATGTCTGAATATATTTACGAGGTGGGCCAGGAAAGTTCCAGGACTGGTGTCACAAAAGATAGATTTCAAACTACAAACTACCAGTTTTCCCCTTCCATCTGATCCCCCTGGAGTCTAAACACACCTCCCCAGCCTTCTCTTTATGCCGCCATGCACTCCTGGAAAGATTCTTCCATGATCCTCTCAGCTTCGTCGTCACAGCCATCTTGATGTCGTCTAAACGGGTCTCCTTGATGACTTCCTTGAGCTTGGGGAAGAGGAAAAGATCCCACAGAGCCAGGTGTGGTGGGTGGGGAGGTTGCTCCAGCACGGAGATGTTCTCCTCAGCCAGGAGCTGTGGGATGCTCAGGACATCCTGCCACAACTCTCATGTTTTCTCGCTCACTGAACGAAGCAAACAGGATCTCTTTGTAGAAGTGCTGGTTGATCGTCTGAAGGAGAAAACTGGTAGTTTGTAGTTTGGGTTTGAAATATATCTTCTGACACCAGTCCTGGAGCTTCTCTGACACACCTCGTATTTTGCCAAACAATGCAGCTGATTATGTGTAACTGACGCCTGCCCAGTAGAGCTGTTCAACCTTAAACTTCATGTATTTAAACATGACCTTGAACAAGTCGCATTTAGATCTGACACTTGTCTTGTAATCGAACACATTTATGTGATTTCTGCATCACGAGCTGAATGCATGTATGTTACCGTGGCAACACAACGCGTACGGTGTGCGATGTTGTAGCTGCGCGGCTTCATTCGGTGGTTTTAGCGACGTACAGCTCAACAGGTTTGCAGGTGAAACGTTTTCTCACAGCAGAGAATCTGCATCGCTCATAAATAATCAGGGAACCAGCTGGTGCTTCAGCCGATTTAAAGTCTGTGAGGTTCTGTCCAAATCTACAAAAAGATACCCAAGATTTAGCTCTGGAAGTTACCCAGAATCCTGAGCGTTATGGATGAGACAGTTAAAAGTAAATACCATAAATAAATGGAAGATACTTGTTTTCATTTTTCTTTTTACTGATCGAGGGCGGTTCATGTTGTTCATACCAACTGTTACTATGTGCAGGTTTGCTTTTGTCTATCAGGGTCCTCAGCAGAGGGTTTAACTCTGCTCTTATATATTTATTATTATTATTATTTTTTGACATATTTGCCCTTTTGGAGAGAATTTGAAACGATGGGAGGAGAAAGCAGGGGAGTGACATGCAGTTAATGCTCAGCAGTGTTTTCATGAAGAGGTTGGAATTTTTATGTAAATTTGTGTTTAGCAGCTAGTGTAGAGAGATTTTTACTGCACATTCTCATCAGACCTCTTATGTTCTGCAACAGGCTTGTAAATATCATCCGTCTTAGCTAAAGAGTTCTATTAATTACTCATAATTTGTGCTGCTGTCACCTCTCTCTCCCTGCGCAGACGTTTGTCCTCCATCGGATGGTGAAGGGAGCGAACGCCACCATCCTGCTGAGCTGCGCCGTCAGCCTGCTGCTGTCTTCTTTCATTGCCTTCGTGGGCTGCCGCAGTCTGCCCTGCTGTGCCTGCTACGATACCAGGACCGGACTGGTAGGGGGGATACCGTCACTATCAGTTACTCCAAACGATATATGATGATTCCTTCTGTCTCGATCCACAAGCTTTGGGAAAACCTTTTTGTTTTCCTGAATTGAAACAACACAAAGGAAAATGAAAATTTGAATCAGTGTTGTCATGAAAAGATCCCTCCCTAAACTTATCGAAGCCAATCCTGAAAGAAACCTGAAGTATCAGGAGAAGAAACGGAACCATTAATAACAGAACACGCATTTGAAAATTAGGTTTTTTACCCCCATGGTTTAAAAAAGAAATGGAAAATATTTGGAGAGTGTCAAAGCAAAGCAGTGGAGGATGTGACATGTGGGAAATGGTGTTCGTCAAAAGCTGCTAAAAATATAAAATTAATAGCACAGATTTATTTATTTTTTTTAAACTACCATACTTGTGTAAACTTATTAACTGAGTCTTGGACCTACTGTCAGGAAAGGCTCGATTTTAGTTGTTAGCATTTATACAAATGCATTTTTTTACTTTACTGACAAGCTCTGATTTCACTTTCTCTCTACAGAATATGTGATATTTATAATATAGATGTGATATTATATATGATGTTATGTGTGTGCTGCAGGAAACGCTGGTTCCTCAGTTTGATCCCGGCGACACGGAGATGACAGTCTGCACCTGGCAAGGTAGGATCTCATGTTAAATGTTTAACCAAGACTTTGTTCCACAGTTCTGGTCTGGAGCACTTCAGTACCTGGTGGAAGACAAGTCCATCCCATAATAGAAAAGCACCAATACACAGTTAAATAACCTGGACTCGAAGTTTGTTGAATTCAGCTGAATGTTGCAGTTCATGTTCACAAAAATGAGATTAGGGATCGACCCATGTGTTTGTTTTTTCTCTCAAAAGAGGCCGATAATGGATGTCTGGAACCGTTGTACATTAAGTGTTTCACCAGCATGTGATTCATAAGTATTTATTAATAGGAGCGACTATAGCTGGTTATGTAAAGCAGAAACAGGAGTGATTAAATGATCTCCTCTGTTCATGTGAAGTCCATCAGTTTGTATCCATCTGCTGTGCTTCTGTTTTATTTGATCTTTCATGGTTTCATCACTTTTATTGTCCACTAAGGTCCAGATCTTAACGAAATATCAATTATTGATGTCCAGACTCTGTTTCAGGATGATCTGTGGCTCTAACTTAGCTTCTAGCCGTTAGCGTAGCTGTTAGCCACTGTGAGAGGAGCTAATTTTCCTGTTTGCGGCAACGGCTTGTATTTCTTGTTCAGTGCATCAGACCTGAAGTAGAGGATTTAATTTATCAATAACTGGCCAAATAAAACACAGATCATTGGAAAAATACCAATAATCAGTCCGTCCCTGTTGAAGGTATTTACCTTAGTGGGCAATAAAAGTGACAGAACAGAGAAAGATGAAGAAAACAGAAGAACAGCAGACGTCGCTGCAGGAGAGAAAACTGATTAATCAGTCGATCTGACTGTAAACGGAGGAGAACGGTTGGTCTTCACTCCTGTTTCTGCTGTTTATTACAGCGATCCTTATTGATGAAGAAGCCTGAAGGTTTCCTGCCATCACCTGCTGTTCTTATGCACATTAAATAGTACATCACTTCCAAACATCTGGTATCTTCTGATAGTCGACATCAGCACCTGACAAAAACATCTTCAGCAGTCTCGTGATGTTGTTCTTCTTTGTTTCCAGCAGGAGGCGATGACAGACTCTTCAACTCTCCGGCTCAGTCCACCGACAGAAGCGCCACCGAGGGAGAGGAGGGTTCGCCCAAAATGCCTCCATACAGCCGCCTGACCTGACCGTCCGCGATGCAGAGACTGAACGCTGCGGCCCTTCAGCCCAGAGGACGGACGTGATGCACCTTTTACGTTTCTTATTTATGTACACGGGCAGACGGGAGGAACCTCGGGAAGTCAGGACGTTTATAGACCTGTTAGAGATGTGACTCATTTAAACTCGTGATCAGAAGAAGCTCTTTGGACTCTTTGACCAAACGTTTCCGTGGCCAGACTCCCTGTAAACCTTTGCCAAACCTGAACGCAACGCGGCGAGACTGAAATGCTTAATTTGTCGTGTGAATCCAAAGACATTTTATGTGTATTTAATAAATAAAGATGGACTGAACTGTGTTTTTCTGAAATGTTCAGGGTAGTTTATTGCAAGGTTACACATGACAAAACCGTTGCAAGCGCCTCCCTCGTCACCCGTCCCCAGTAGTTTCACCCATTGGTCACTGCCGGTCAGTAACGTTTGACATTTTCCTTTGTGGCCGTGTGCAATGACAGATACAGTCACTTAGTTGTGAACCAAAGTAAGGCAAAAAGAAATTACAGTAGCGTGAAGGCAGATAGATGAAAAAAACAAAAGGACACTTGGAGAACAGAAGGAAGCAGCAACCAAATCCAGAATAAAACACCCGCTGCCTGCTCCTGCTTTTCCCGTCCGTGTGCAGTGCATAGCCTCTGAACAGAGTCCTGAGAGAAGGCCGTTTGGTTTGATCCACAGTCCACTGAGTCCTCTGAGAAGACGAAAGCTTGACCTGGAGGTGGTGAGCACAAGAGCCACAGGACCAGCTGTGGTCGCAGCCGACAAACACCGAGCTGCAAACTAACGTGTACGTCGGCCGAATGGAGGAAAAAACAAAGTCAGCGTTTATTGTACAAAGGTGCAACACATGCTGAATATTTCATCACAAGCTTACATACAGTAACGAGTATACGACGCATCCATGTACATGTTGAGACGCCTGAGGTGCACTACGAAGCCGTACTCCCTACGAGAGGTATGTGTTCGACTAACCTACACAGTGCTGGACTTCTGTTTAGCAGCCTTTCCTACGCACAACTAGGAACAGCGAGCAAACACTAAAACTCTAATTGCTTTTCTGTCTTTAGTTTCCCTTTGAATCCTGGTACGCTTTCTCTCCTTGTTGACTGCGAGAACAGGCTCCTCAAACACTGAGCTAAACAAAAGGTTCTGCCATTCAGAAGTGGGCGTCTTTGTCTGAAGCTGTGATTAGAGATTTTGGGGGCAGAAACACAAACATGGACGATCCATTACCCATCTGCAGGGCTGAGCTATGCAGTGAGTTTGCAAAGGCTGTATATAAAAGACAGACGTCACTCGCAGGTCTGAAAAGTAAAGTACCGTAAACCTGCATTCTTTCAACTAGCCAGCAGGGGGCGACTGGTCTGTTTGCAAAAATAAACCAGATTGGATACAGAAAATGATCCTATTTTCCCCTTTAATTACCTCAATAAACATTTTTCTGATGAATTTACTGCCTCGATCACAAGCTTTAAGGCTTTTGGAATTCAACATAATGTTCGATTTATAAATCATACTCCCATTTACAGTGGAATAGATGAAGAAGCCAGAGGGCGGGGCTAACTCGTGATTGGCTGCTGTATCCGCCACTTGCTTCTGTTTAAAAACAAGAAAATGGTCGTCCACAAACCGGTGAGTGACGCTACAGTCGCCACATCCATCTTTTATAAACAGTCTGAGCGATTTTGGCACGTTTGGCCGAACCGTGTGATCTGGAACCAGCTCTGTTTACAGTCTGACCTGCTGAGTTCTCTGCTGATACGCCACCAAGCATCTCCAACAAAGCCTGTAAATGTTCCATCCTCTCACATTTTCTCACCACCAGGGCTGAAAAATGAATCAGCACGATCCAGTTTTATTTAACTTTCACTATGTGGTTGGACCAGGATGAAAACGATGTTAGTCGTAGCTTCAATCGCATTTTTTAAATAGTTTACACGATTGAACCTAAGCTCAACTCAATATGGCACTTCTCCAGGTTGTTTCCTCCTGACCAGATCCTTGCTTGTGTTGGATCTGCTCTCAGATGTGCGTCGCTTTGGGTAAAAGCTGAATGAAACTGTAGAATTGTTGCAGACATCTCTGCCACATCGCTCAGCCCCACGTTTCACCATTTTGCTGAATAAAGTTATCGGGGAGGGAAAACACAGCTGGCTGCTGGCTGCAAGTTAAAAACAACACTGTATTCGACAGACTCTTAACCTTATTGTTCAGCAGGAGTCCTGTTTCTAGTGAATGTTCAGCTGCTTTTGTTCTTTGGCAAATCCTGAACAAAATATCTTTAACGTCTAAATGCTCCACTGTGTCCAGCTTCACGTGTTCGCTGCAGAAACACTATGACTGGTAGTTACGGCTAGGTTTAAAGGGGAGTGAGCTGGTCTGGATTTGTCATCCAGTTGGCTTAAATCAAGTCAAGCGCCCACACTCAAACCTAAACTATGTGTTGCAGCTTTCCTCCCCAATAAGCTCTAAAAATCTGAAGCAGTATCTGCCTCGATCAGGGCTCACTGTTGGGCGACTGGTTTGTAACTGACAAACAGGCTTTAAGGTGGGCCCTGCTTTAAACTCTCAGGCCGTGTAAATACCTCAGTGTAATGACACAGCTCATAGAGAGCAGGAGGAAAAGGCAGTTTAAAGGCCCAGAGGCCTGAAGCAACCTGGAGCTGGACGAGCCCAGACAGAGCCCACCGGTCTCAGCCTTCAGAGTGTGAAACATGAGGATGTGGTCACCGCGGGGCTTTTCTACATGGAAGATTTTAACCTCAATCCCTTTTTTTTTCTTCTTTAAATTGCCGATCAACTGTCAGGATTCAGTGAGGCTGATATGTCACAAACACAACCTTAAAATGAAATGATTTCCCTTCGACATGCAAACAAGCAGCCACAGTTAAAGGCACCCTGTGGAGTGATGCTAGACCAGCAGCCGGGGCTTTAAGGAGCAGATCTGTCTTTTATGTGCATCTCCGATCTTTGCTAGCGTGAGCTTCACTGTTGCTAAGAAATGTAGCATCGTGTTAGCAGAGGCAGGGACGGCTGCTGTGGATGTAAACAAAGCAGCTGTTAGACTTTGCAGATGTTCTCTGGAGAAGAAAATACATTAATGTTTTGTTTCCACACAGATGTGTCGCAAAACTCCTCCTGTGTTTTTTTTCTGGTTCAGAGTTTACTTTGAGAACGTTGAAAATTTTTAACTTTTGCAGTAGATTACGTTGGAAAAATGAATTAGCTCACAGGCTCTTCAGTTGTTTGACTATGTGGACGGCCAAATCGTGTAAATGTATCGTTAAAAAATTAACCCGTTTAGCTCGTTTAACACATGCCAGCTGTGTAATACAGAGAGAACACACACACTGTAGTGGTTTGTATGTCCTGAAGTAAATATTTCACTGAAGTGGCTCCTCATGATGCAGGAAAACCTCCTTACTTCTGTCTCTCCTCTTTTATTATTGGTCCTGTTTTAGTGGCAGTAACGCTTCATGCACAGATTCCATCAAACTAACGGTAAAAATTGATTTCTGCATCTGATTAGCCTCCTTCATGTGTATCCATCGTCACTAAAATGCATTTTCTTGCACTATTTCTACAGACATGAAGCAGAACTCTGTGGAAACGAGGCGTGTAAACAAAGACTGAGTGTAAATACGGTGATCAATAGGAAGAAAGCTCCACAGTGTGCCTTTACTGAGGCAGCTGAACGAGAACCGACATCCACCTGCAGAGTCACAATAAACCCAAACAAATCAGACAAGAAGGGAGTGGACAAAATATCACGTTCAGCTTTCAACAAAAAGCACAAATCACAACACCAAAGTGAGACTTGTTCTCTGTCTTGACACAGATGAAATGGTTGGATGGTTTTTATAAAGTGCTCTGGTATTTTGTCCACACCCTACAGCTCGGCCTTGGCTTAAACTATTTCCTTAAAGGACGATTTTTGGCCACTTTTTCAGGATCGGTGGATCCAAAAAACAAGAATCACATCGTAAATACGACCCCAAATCATATAAAGTCATTTATAAAGTTAAGCACAAGCAGTGAAAAAATGTATCCCCTCCGCTGAGACATTCAAATCTGTGTTTTTCTGATTGTGAAGCCATTTTTGCTCGATCCGCCCTTTCTTTCTTCTGCCTCATTATCCTTCAGACTGAACTTGTCTCACTATTCTCCCCCCTCAGCAGCTGCTGCAGCCCCAGCTCCGGCCCCCGTCTGCCCCGTCATCCCTGCCCCTGCTCAGGTTGACGGTGGCGCCTGAAGCCCCCGGCGGCTGGCTGAGCACCAGGGGCTTCTGGGACTTCAGCTTGTGGGCGACCGTCATAAAAATGGCCTCAACGTGGTCACTGTTTCCGGAGTTCCCGTCTCCCTGGCTGTTTGGGTTCTTTGCGGACGTCTCAAACAACGGCATGGAGTGGGCGTCCGCGAACTGCTGCGCCACGTCCGTGCCCACTTGGACCGAGTCTTGGAGGTCGCATTTGTTTCCCACCAGGATCCGGGGGACCTCGGTGCCCAGAGCGTGCTGCTTGCACTCCTCGATCCAGGCGGGGAGGCTGCGGAAGCTGGCGGCGTTGGTGACGTCATACACGAAGACGACGGCGTGCACGTTGCGGTAGTAGTGCTGCACCATGGACTTCCTGAAACGCTCCTGGCCTGCAGTGTCCCACAGCTGGATCTGTGGAGGACAGCGAGGACGTGGATCAGAAATTAAATCTAAAATAAGTGAGGAAGCTTCATCCCAAAGTCCTTTAAAATATGTGGAAGTTTTAAACAAAATTCCACAACTGAAGTCTGACTAAAGGTTAACTTTCCTGGTAAACATTTAGATCTCTGCTGCAAGTTTTAAGATTAATGTGCAGCCAGCAGAGGGGAAGGAAAACTAACTTCGCTTAAACCAGGACTGACCCCTGGAGCCTGGACCGGCCAGATTGGAACCAGGTCCAAATTCTACTCTGTGTAATCAGGTTGTAAACATAAATCTTGAAACAAATAAGAAACAGGTACGAGACGTGTAGCTGGTTGGATTTAATAAGTTAAACTTCATCCTACTCGTTTTTAAACACTATTTTAACCCTATTCAGGACTTTGGGGGTCTTTTGGACCCCAGACCATTTGGTTTAGGTGACAGGCACTGTTTTTGTTATTTTTGAAGATTTTTTTTTTTTAAATATAAAAAGAGGGACATTTGTCAAGCATTGGGACCCAAAATACATCAACTTATCAGAAAATTTATTTAACATAGTATAAAAGTCTATAATGAATACCAACAAATATTTTGCACATATTCTTTGTTGGGGTCTTGTCTCTTGGTCTGTTGTTGTTTTATTTTGTGTGATTTATTTTTCGTTTAGCCTTTACAGTACTGTGGCATCTCTGAAATAAATCAAATAGAAAATCTAAACAAAATTCAATTTCACTTAACATCAGACCTACTTCTGTCAGTCAACATGAAACTTGTATTTATGTTAGTTTTGTTGTGTTCATCTGCCCTGACAAACACAACCTGTGGAGTTCCTCAGGGCTCCGTTCTGGGTTCCCTTTCTGTTCAATGTTTACATGCTCAGATTGTGGAAATCAACACCGTAACTATGCAGACGACACACAACTTTACATAACAAGCAGTCAGCAGTTGCGTTAATACAAATCGATTGTTGGATGAGTCAGAATTTTCCTCAGTTAAGACACAAGTGAAGTTGTTGTTTTTAGGAGCCAGTTAAGAAGGATTAAAAGTCAGCAATCAGCTTCACTCACGGTTTTTACACACCAAATATCTGCTGCTCAGTTCTCAGACTTTTCTGTTTGCCTCTAAGTAAATTAAATCAGATCAAATATAACTTTATTAATCCCAGAATGTAATTGTATGTATGTAATTCTTGAACCAGAAATTGCTCAGAAAAAGCAAAATGACCTAAAATAAGAAATGCAGTGAGATATAAGCAGGATCCTTTACTTAAATAATTATTTTTTCTTCCACTTTACCTTTTTTATTTGTGTTGATTTTGCTTTATGTTGCTTTTACAGCTTGTCTTGATGTTTTATGTGCATCCTTTGAACCTGCTGCCTTTGCTTCCCTACATGTATATTTTATAATCCCGTGTTCTCCACCGGAGTTCTCCAGATCACCCGTCCTACCGATGCTGTGCTCGTCCGGTTCTTTTGGACCGGTACCGCGGCGCTCACCTTGATTTTCTCGCCGTCGATCTCCACCAGCCTCTCCCTGAAGTCCACCCCGATCGTGGCCTCGGTCTTCTCGGGGAACTTGCCGGCGCAGAAGCGGTAGGTGAGGCAGGTCTTCCCGACGCCCGAGTCCCCGATCACGATGATCTTGAAGATGCGGGTCCTCGGCGGCGGAAGGGTCGAGCTCGTCAGGGAGCCGGAGAATTCAACCGATGACCCGCTCTCCGCCATGTCGAACCGCCGGGGCCGGAGGAGGCTTTGTAGCCGTCGGTCACCGGGCTGCTGCTGCTGCTGCTGGAGGAGGAGGAGGAAGGGCCGAGGGAGCCTCCGACACCAAACACATCCAGTATGTAAAGAATATGTAATATTTAAACCGCCTTAAAATGCTCCCAGCGCACCCAGTAGCTTCATCTGTCAAACCAGTACATCGCGTCAACACTCAGCTGCGAAGCCACGTACGGAGGTGCCTGACGAAGTCTCTTCTCGCGAGATTTCAGCTGTATGTGACGTTCAGGGTCCCGCTGGAAATTATGTAATGTCCTGCACGACTAACGTTCCCACAACATTTACAAAAACAGCCTCCAAGTTCCATAATATCGTTGTGAAAAGTTGCAACCTAATGAAAAGAAGGTTTTGAAGATATTTATAATTTCCAGCAATTAAATTAAATTTTATTTATATAGCGCAGCTCACAACATATTTCATCTCAGAGCGCTCAGCGAAGCAAAGTGAAGACCTGAGCTGAGATTATTAGCTGCAATATTCAGAGGATGTTTGGTGGATTTACCTGTAGCTGCTTCAAAATAACCCGTGTTCTGTTATGAGATAAGTTAAAAAGAAAAGAACCAAAAAAGGAAAAAGCTATAAAATAAAGCTGGATTTCCCCAACATTCATCTGCAACACAACAAAACTTAATTCAAAATTGAGCAAATGTATTTTTTTCCAGTAAATCTGCCACTCATACTGGAGTGTTTTGGAGCCTTTGTGCAGCATTTCTAATTACTTTTAACTAAAGTAGATTTTACATACTGGCCTCCATCACCGTCCACTGCTGCCACTTAGTGGGAAAATATCAAACTAACATCATTATTTTTTCTCCTACATGACCTGTCTCTTGGCAGACTTCAGTGTTGCTGCAGTTTGTAAAAAATGCAGTCTGTTGCCTTTCTTCTCTTCTCCTGATACAAACTGTCGAACTTTTCCAAAACTCAGGAAATCTAGACATAAACAGAGCTGAAACTGTTAGATGATTGGTCAACTGGCAGAAAATGAATACACAACGATTCAGACAACTTATTTAAGTGACAAACATGCTCTAGTTCCAGTTTTTCCTGATCTTTGAAGTCAGAAAACCTCAATTTAATATTCTTCAAGGCTAAAAACTAATCTGGTTTTGCACAATACCCAAAATATTTTAAGACTACACAGTAAATTTAAAGGTTGCAGCAAAAACATAGGAAGTAAACGTTTTCACTGAGGATACAAACATGAATGTCAGAGTGACTGAATTCAATGTTAAAATATTTAACTCAGTTTCAAGTTTACTGAAATACAATTTCAATTGGAATTCAAACTATGAGATTTATTTATTTTTCCTTTTTCTTTAACGATTACTCAAACTGAGTAATTTACATTAAGTTAACCAGCACTTTAGATTTACTATTTTAAAAACTCTCCCGTCTCAGTTTACCCACCAGTATTGATCAGCTTGATATCAAACCTTCTGTTTCTAGATAAATTAATTGAAAAAGTTCTTCACCAACAACTTATCCACATTTTAATAGAACAATTGCTTTGATAGGTTTCAGGTAAAGGGATCCCACAACTACAAATACACTCATAAAATTAATTAATGACATTAGCTTCAACACTGACTCAGGAAAAGTCTTTGTTCTGGTTCTGTTGGACCTACTATGTGCTGCTTTTGACACAGTGGAAGACACGGTTCTGTAACAAAGATTAGAAGACTGGGTAGAACTCTCTGGAACCGTACAAATCACATATTAATGACAGGAAGCTCTTTGTTTTGATGACAGATGGGGTTCCACAGGGTTCCATTCTGGAACCTCTACTGTTTGAGCTGCATATGATCCTGTTGAGCCGATTCATACAAAATAGTAAAGTAGGCAATCATAATTATGCAGATGACACACAAATACAAATAATGATCAGGCTATTGTGGACCCGTTGAATCTCTGTGTAACTGTGTTGAGCAAATCAAGGATTAAAAGCTTCAACATTTTCTCCAACTACATAAAAATAAGACTGATGTGATTGTGTTTGGGATGAAGAAAGACAAACAGCCAGCTCCCATCCTTAGTCATCTCTCTTATATCTCAGAGTCAAGCAAAAAAATTGCAATGTCATCGCATCAAATCAGTGACCTCACCAGCGTTCTACCATTTAGAAAAATTAGCCAGAATCAGAGGCATAATGTCAAAGCAGGACCTTGAAAAGCTCACCCATGTTTTCATTTCCAGTAAATTAGATCACTGCAATGGTCTCTTTACTGGGCTTCAGTCTGGCAGCTTCAGCATATACAGAAAGCTTATGAAAACTAGGAAATGTGACCTCGTGACTTTCGCTAACTATCCCTCAGAGAATAGACGTATCGATAATGGACGGATGGAGGTTACTCTGTTGTGGAACCAGCTCCCAGTTTGGGTTAAAGAGCCACACACCCTCTCTACTAACATTTTTTTTGGATAAAGCCTACTGCATAGTCAAAGCTGTTCTGGTGACCCTGAACCATCTCTTAGCTATGCTGGTGTCAGCCTCAACTCCTCAGGGACTTCCCATGATGCACTGAGAACCTCTCCTCTATCTCCATAGATTTATATACCTCCATTGCATGTCACTAACTTTGTCTTCTCTCTCTGTAGTTTGTGTTTTGTCATTTCTGCAGGAATCTCTAATTCATGTTGCTGACTTCACCAAACTTCCATGTGTTTATTGTTGAAGCGCTGCTTAAAGGGACTTGTTGGGGTTTTCTCTATAATCTGAATATTGTAACGTCTTCATGTTACTTGACCCAAATTGGGAATTGATGTTGTATAAATTAAACTGAACTGAATGGTAAGATAACAAAGTCAGATTCAGCTCCTAATTCAGTTTTTGCCAATTATTTGTGTTTTGACTTTTTGTGGCAGAAAAAAGTAAAATTTTGTGGATCAAATAATAAAGAAAATACGTGATTGTTGTAGTCCTAGTGTGCTCTGAGGTCACGTGGGGCTCATAGAAATACTTCTGAAAATAATGCGAATGTCAGGAAAACACACAGAAAACATGTTTAGAACCTCTTTACCATTTTGTATTATGCGTTAACTTGGTAATTTCTGCATTAGTGCAATATCAGAACAAAGTGTTCTGAGGACATTATTCCCAACACAATGTACTCCAATAAAACAAACTGCTCTACGTCTGAGGTGAAGCTGTTCCTCGGTGAGTTCTCAGGCGTGTTTGGACGCACATTTGGATTAACGTGCTGATATTTCAGCTGATTGTTCATTCATTCATAACAGTAACAGTAAGTCACGATGCAGTAGGTATGCTGTCCAGCATCCCTGATGTAACACACGTGAACCCTCCGTTTTCCCCTCGTTACATCATGACCTTCACATGCCCACTACGTGTGTCTGTCCTATTACGGCCTAAATCACCAAAACGCAAAACAGTAGCTGGAATTCATTTAATCTGTATATCAAGCACATTTATCATCATTCTAAAGACATACTGTCAATGAAATGCGTATATTTAATTTAGGAAGAGCTCTCTATATTGTTTAACCGGTAAAAATAAAAGTCAGGCGGTACACGTACGGCCCAATTTGGGGTCCTTCGGCGTTGCATGGTGCAACATGTGTTGGATAATTCCAGAAGCAGCTCCACTGTTCCTTTGCTGTTTCGGTCTCAAAGACGCGTAGTCCTGCTGAAGCTGAGCTGTCGGTGTTTTTGCCGTGGACACACCGTGTGGAGATCCGCAGACTCTCGGAGATTCATCATCGTTCAGCTGTTCTTCTCCCTTCAACAGTTCCGCGTCTGTATTTCGACGTTGACCGCGACTGACGTTTTAATTTCACCGAGTTAGCCTGTTAGCCGAGCTGTCAAAAAATGTTGAGTGTGGCCAGAAGCGTTTCAAGGACTCTTCCCACGAGGAACTGCGCCAGGAATGTGTCCTCTCTGGTTAAGAAGGTAAGTTACAAACACTCTTAATAACTGTTATTGACACGCTTGGTGTCGAGCGTTATTATAAGATTTGACAGCGAACCGGCTAGCTTAGCATGCTAACGGCATTAGCTTGAGGCCGGTTCGTTTAAACGTGACTTTTAAATGTCCTGCGTCACCGGAGCTGATCACGAAGAAGCGGTTTGTATTATTCGGTAAATAAAAGTGCACGGTGATCGACGTCATTACGTACAGGTCTGTAGTTCTCTCTGCTGGCGTAATGACAGGTGTTTGGGGCTAAGCTACCGTGTGCTAGCTTACATGTGACGTCTCATAGATTTCCCTCTCACGGGTGTTTAATGTGTGTGAATAAGAGCGTTATTCAGTTTGATGTTCACTCGATTGTATAAGTCAGTATGTGTGTTAAGAGATGGCGGTTCTTTGTTCCAAAGCTGTGACTGATGGCTGGATCTGTGACCTTCAGTGAGGCGTCCCCACCCCCAGCTCCTGCACCACTTTTCACATGGTGTTCCAAAGTTTACTTAACACAGCCACGACTTAGCCTGTATCTCAGTATTAAATGATCTGATGATTCATCATCACACACAAACTGTCTGTCAGCTGCTCTTACAACCTCCAGAGTACATCAGTTATTACATATTCAGGGTTTTGTTCTGTAGTTTTGTTATTGCAGGTTTTAACCTCTTTCAAAGAGTCAGATTATAAGTAATGTGCTTTCATCAGTCGTATTTGTGTCAAACTTCTCTCATGTCTTAGTCAATGTATTTGCTGTAATTCACTCAGTGTGTCATGTTTTGTGATGTCTTTTTAGGCGTCCTGGAGCGGCTTCCAACCAGATGCTCTCAGAGCTCTGTCCAGGAGGGACTATGCGTAAGTTAATATCAGCGTATCAGTTCATCCCCAACTGTTTTGATGATTGATTGATTGGTTTGAGAAATGTTTTTAGAATAAATATTCCTCATTTCAGCTTCTGAGATGTGAATATTTTCTGATTTCTTTGTTCCTCTATGACACTAAGTCGAATATTTTGGGGTTGTCCACCAAAAAAGATAATTTTTTAAATCCCAACACTGAATCCATTAACCAGAAACATAATCGTTAGCTTAATTGACAACAAAAATAATCATTAGTTGCAGTCCTAGTTGAAAAATTGTTATTAATCTACTAGAATACAGTAATAAGACAGTTTACTCAATAAGATGATCTTGATAATGATAGAACTCTACTACATTTCTTTAGCACCCAAATAATGGCCTGCTTACAAGAGAAACAAGTCAGGAATGTGGATTAAAACTATGAATCAACATCATTGCTGTGGTCTGTTAGAACATCTAAATAAAACCTTATTGATTTGCATCAATGGGAATAATGTCTCGTGTGTTGCAGGTCCGAAGCCATCAAGGGTGCAGTCATTGGCATCGACCTGGGAACCACCAACTCCTGCGTCGCAGTCATGGAGGGGAAGCAGGCCAAGGTGAGGATGAAACTGTCCTTGTCAGTAATATATTAAAAAAATGTTGGTCTGAGCAGTGCTGTGAAAGCTTAGCCCATTAACATGTGACCCATTTGTCACCAAAATCTAAAACAAAATTAAATGCTCATCGAAATATGACATTTTCCTCCAAACTGAATTGAGTCCGACCCTCAGGTGTTGCTGTTTATCTGATAAACTCTAAAATATTTTCTGTATTTTCATGTAAATGCACACTTATTCTTTAATTCCACCTGTCACATGCTCACATAATGAAATCCAGGAAGGGTTTGAGTTGTTGCTGACAGATTGGGCCAAAGGGAAGTATGTTGCAAAAGTAGGTCAAGAGTTATCAGGATAAGAAAAAAAGCATTGAGAAATCTCGGTACATATCAGACTTTAACATGTTTTTTTATATTTGATGAAGGCTTTGTGATTCTTTTAACTGATTTGGAAAGAAATGAATGACGTAAGTGTACAGTTTGTAAAACGTTTTTATTTTTTTTCTGTCCATCCAGGTAACAGCTGAGACCTGACAGTTGTTGCCTAAAGCATTTAATGAATGCAAACAAAAAGAGAGTCGATATTTACATAGTCTTGCACATACGCAGATTTCACAAGAGAAAGATAGTTGTTTCTGTTTACCCGGTGTTCCCTCATGAATTTCCTTGACCAGTTTTACTTACTAGTACGTGCAGTCCTTAGTCACCAGATCCACTTACAGATCTTCATACAGTCTGATACAACAGATTGGAAACAGAAGCTACATGTAGGATAACAGCGGTGTACAGTACTGCGTTACATTTAAATTTAAATGTAAATGTGTTTAATGTTTTAATCTTCCTCCCTCTGTTTTGTTAACATTTGGGGAAAACATCAGAAAGGCATCCTGATAGAACACAGTTTCGTTCAACGCATTGTCACACTTTAACCTCAATAACAAACTTGTCGATTTATGAAAACCTCTCGCAAAAACGGAGCTTCATAATCATCCCAATGTAGAATTAGTGGCAGCTTTGCATTAGGTCTAAGTAACAGAGGCAGAGTGTATATTAAGTGTTACTAGTCTGATTTGACCCAGTAAAAAGCAGATGATGAGCCGGTGCTTGTTTCTGTCAGTTTGTTTACTTTGTTCAGTCTGAGCATCATTATTCAATGTTGTAATCTGCTGCTGAAATCAACGTATTTACTTTGGAAAGTTAGAGACTGGCTGTGGTGTTTGGACGACATCAGTCCAAACAAGCACAGACATTATCTTCGTCAAGGACGTTCTTATCAAGAAGTTGCTAGTTTTTGGGTAGTATTTTGTAAATGAAGACCTTGTTTCATTTAGGAGGCTGTTATTTGTATCAACAACAACACTCATGATGCAGATGAAGGGCGGAAGTTTGACAGGAAACTTAAAACGGGTTCTTACACAGTAGCTCAGTTTGGGTAAATAAACGGCCACATTTCTGATCTGAAGATTCATGAAGGAACTCAAGGTTCTGTCGTTTCCTTGCAGGTGTTGGAGAATGCAGAGGGCGCCAGAACGACTCCGTCAGTCATCGCCTTCACAGCTGAAGGAGAACGTCTGGTGGGGATGCCGGCTAAACGCCAGGCCGTCACCAACCCTCAGAACACGCTGTACGCCACCAAGAGGCTGATCGGACGTCGCTTCGACGACTCAGAGGTCCAGAAAGACTTGTGAGTACACCTGAGGTCTTGTTGCTTAAAACAATCTGCATCATCGTGTTCCCAATTTCAGAAATAATATTTGCTTTATTCTTTTACCATCCTGTCATTAACAGGAAGAACGTCCCATACAAGATCGTTCGTGCGTCCAACGGTGACGCCTGGGTCGAGGCTCATGGGAAAATGTACTCTCCCAGCCAGGCGGGAGCCTTCGTGCTCATGAAGATGAAGGAGACTGCAGGTATCATCGCTTCTGCATTCATAAAGGAGTTTTTAAATATCTTCCACATGGGAGGATTAGTTTTGGTCATGATCTGATGTTTGTGTTGTAGAGAACTACCTGGGAACCAAAGTGAAGAACGCTGTGGTCACCGTACCAGCTTACTTCAACGACTCTCAGAGACAGGTACCTACCCGCATGTCAAGTGTTCACATAAACACTAAAAGAAAAGGTCTCAGTGGTGGAGTCAGAAGAGTTCACTGATTGTCCAGGCTGATATTTGGCATTTTTCTGATTTTAGTTATTGTTTGACTCTCATGCATCCTCCTCTGTCGTCACTCTGTGGTCTCGAACAACGTCTGGCTTGATTTAGTCTTTTGGTAAAACTGTGTCTTGAACTTCTGTCGTCGTCCGAGGGGGGTGAGGGGATCGTTGTCGTCGTCGACCCGGGGTGGTCTTAGCGAATGCTGCTAACGGGTAGCGGCCATTATGCTAGCGAATAGCAGCGAAGACGATGGTAGTGAAACTCCGTCAGCGCTTGTTGTTAAATATTTTCCCGTCACATACCTTCGAAAACAGCGTATCGGCCCAGTTTGCAGTGAAATGTTTTCAGACAGCATATCCCGATGTCCCGATTCCAGCACAGCGAACGAGTAGTCGGCTATTTGGCTATTGAGCTATTTGGGTCTTTGGGTCTTAGGGTCCAGCCCTACTAAAGTTAGATTTGTCCAAGATGAAGCCGCATGATTTTTATCCACATGCACTGTTTTCTATGAGCGGAGAAAACACTGGAGGTACGTGCGCTACGCCTTTTAAACTGTGAAGACCACAGTTGATGGTTTTCATGTAGTGGTTAGAAGCTAAAATTGTGATTAATAATTATTTCATTTTTCCGCCCTACTACTGCGTTAGCTGTTATCATTAGCTCGCTCACCGACTCAGTCTGTTCCTGCCTGAACCTGCTCTGTGATCATCAGGTGAGTCTGAGTCGGACCTCCAACGGCTCGTTTTACACATCAGCCAGAAACAGACTGAACGAGGCACATAAGAAGTAAAAATTAAACTTTCCACTGCTGTGGCTGCTGCAGTAACTGCCTGTGCTGTTAAAGCGACAACAAAACTCCTGAATGATCGTCATTCACTTGCACGAATGCGACCACTTGACATTTTAACTCGTACTCTCTCAAAAAAGGTCGCATATCTGACGAGAGCCTCTGATGTTAAGTATTTGGTTTTACAACGTTCCCAAATGAATGATGTGCTTGTTTAACTTCCAGGCTACCAAAGATGCTGGTCAGATCGCTGGACTGAACGTCCTGCGTGTGATCAACGAGCCAACAGCTGCTGCTCTGGCTTACGGCCTCGATAAAACCCAGGACAAGATGTGAGTAGAAGAGTCGAAGCTGAATTATTCCTTTTAATGAAACTCTAAAACCGCTTGTTGTTTTACCCAGTTGTTGGTATTTCAGCGTTATTGATCAGTCGTTTGTGTTTCCAGTATCGCCGTGTACGATCTGGGTGGAGGAACCTTCGATATCTCGGTCCTGGAGATCCAGAAGGGAGTGTTTGAGGTCAAATCCACCAACGGTGACACTTTCCTGGGAGGAGAGGACTTTGACCAGCACCTCCTCAGACACATCGTGAAGGAATTCAAGAGAGAGGTAAACAAGCTCAGTTTGGAGTCTCATTTGTGTGTCAGTCTTTTTTTTTTTTTCTTTCTAGGTTTTCATGTGCATTGTTTTGTCTTTTCAGTCTGGCGTGGATCTGACAAAGGACAACATGGCTCTCCAGAGAGTCCGAGAGGCTGCTGAGAAGGCCAAGTGTGAGCTGTCCTCCTCACTGCAGGTACACAGAATCAACAAAGTGCAGTTTTACAATTAAGGTGCACAAACTCTTCAACCACTTTGTTCAAACGCGACCGCATTGTGTGCGTTTCCTCTTGCAGACTGACATCAACCTGCCCTACCTGACCATGGACGCCTCCGGTCCCAAACATCTCAACATGAAGCTGACTCGCTCCCAGTTCGAAAGCATCGTGGCCGACCTGATCCGCCGCACCGTGGCTCCCTGTCAGAAGGCCATGCAGGACGCCGAGGTGTCCAAGGGAGACATCGGAGAGGTGCTGCTGGTGGGAGGCATGAGCCGCATGCCAAAGGTACGCAGCATCCGCTCATCGTATGACTCGTAGGACAGAAGAAGGTTGGAGGAGGAGGGTAATAATCATACAGAGAAAGACTAATTTAAACACTTGGTTCTGCTGTAGTTTTGGATGCAAATGTAGAAAGATGCAAGAGTCCAGGTGGCAGTAAAGGATAACCCTTTACTCGAGGGCTTTAATAAGACATTATATATTTATACAACTTGCTGCAAGCATGCGCCTTTCATCAGGTATATTTAGGCTTTTATTGCTACTTATGCAAACACATTAAAGGTGAGTTTCCAGCTCATAGAGCACCATAAAACCACTAATCTGATGAAAACAAGGCGTGATGTCGGTGAGGAGTCAGTAAAACAATGGTGCAGATGAGACGATAAAACAGACTGCAGGTGGTCAGAACGAAACTCAGATGATGTTTTTGTGTTTTAAGCCAAACCTGTTCCAGCTTCTGTAACTTGGTGGCATTTCCAAACCAGAGTCAGAGTTTTGTTGAGTTTGGGGCTTCAGTATAACAGTTGACCCGTTTGGTTCCTGTTGACTGTTGTTGAAGATGTGATCTAGTCAGTGTTGTGAAATCATCCCAAAGTGGAGTTACGTGGGGGCTTCTGTTCTTGTGTTGGTTTCAAGCAACATTGTTTGAGCAGCACTAAAAATACTTGTTGTCCTTTTTTTTTTTTTAAAGGAAATTCTTACTTCATGTAATTTTTTTACTTGTGAACTCACATTTTGAACCTTGAGAAATAGTATGTGTATACAAAAGAAGCATCAGCAGACTTCATCAGTTGTGATTGCGGCTCTGATCCTCGCCTCACACATGACTTACATCCACTAAAACGAGAGCTGTTGGATGTGGATATAAGCCAGCGATCATTTAAAATGACTTTGTCACAGACTAGAAACGACTCTCGAGCAGCGACGTGCCACAATGAAAAGTAAAGTTTCCTGAGGATTTGGGTTGTGCAGTCTGGCGTCTCTGCTCGAGTGGATTATTGTTTATAATCAAAGTGCTTGTATCCCTGTTTGCAAATATTCCACCCGTCACTGTTTTGAGGGAACACCAAAGCTTCATCCTTTGCTTAGCTCCGCCCATGATGACTGTAATTGGTTTAAAGAAATACAAACTACAGCAGAATGATTTGCTGCAGAACAGGCTGGCTGCATGAGACCAGAACACAGGTGACACTTTGTTTGTCCTCCAGGTTCAGCAGACAGTCCAGGACCTGTTCGGTCGCGCCCCCAGCAAGTCCGTCAACCCCGACGAGGCCGTCGCCATCGGAGCGGCCATCCAGGGCGGCGTTCTGGCCGGCGACGTCACCGACGTGCTGCTGTTGGACGTGACTCCGCTGTCGCTGGGTATCGAGACTCTGGGAGGCGTCTTCACCAAACTCATCAACAGGAACACCACGATCCCCACCAAGAAGAGCCAGGTACTGAAAGCAGCGCTCAGGGCTGCACCAGGAAGCTAGTTTGACGTATTCAGGCTTTGTTTGTGTTAGCCGGCTAAATAAAACCTAAAACCCCGGTCAGAGATAACACAACAGTCAGCTTTGTTTTGTTAACCAGGTTTTCTTCAGACTCGTGCACATTAAAGGGAGCTTTTATGTTTCTGACAGCTGCATAATACAGCTGTTAAACTTGTCCCATGATGGTGGAAATCACTGTTAGAATATCCTCTGTGATTAGTACCAATATAATAATCAGTTTTCTAATCTGTGTTCTGTCATCGGTGGTACCAGAACCAAACATAAAAACATTTCTGCATCACCAGTTGAATAGGTGTCAGGTTTTCATGGCAGCTCGACGCGTTCAGTGTCTGATGCTGAAACTAAACGGCTTAATTCAGCTCAGCATGTTTACAGATGAGACACATTGTCTTGTATCCCTCATAGAAAGGATCTGGTTAAAGGGAGAGGCTTGTTACAGCCGATTTAAGTCTGAATCTCTGAACATAACCTGCTCCCGACCAGGTTAGCTCCACAGCATCGGTTACCGTGGTGATGGAGCAGGTTTAGAAAGCCACCTTCGTGACCCTGAAACGTTGACTTCAGGCTCAACATACCTGCTGATCTCACCTCCTAGCTCAGACCTCTGCTCTGTGACTGCAAACATAAACGTAACTGTGTCGTCGCCCCCTGCAGGTGTTTTCCACGGCGGCTGACGGCCAGACTCAGGTGGAGATCAAGGTGTGTCAGGGCGAGCGAGAGATGGCGGCTGACAACAAGGTGCTGGGTCAGTTCAGTCTGGTGGGAATCCCCCCTGCCCCCCGCGGAGTCCCCCAGATCGAGGTCACCTTCGACATCGACGCCAACGGCATCGTCCACGTGTCCGCCAAGGACAAGGGAACCGGCCGCGAGCAGCAGAGTGAGCATCTGCCGCCGTTTTACATCCGCGTGTGATTAGTTTGTTTATTTAAAGTCTCCGTGTGCGATTAGTCACATGATGAAAAGTGTTTTATGCAAGTATGTCGGATCGTTTGCTTTGGTCGGCCTTCGTGTGGGAGTTGGAAGGAATAAATTCTCGTCGCTAATATTTATGTATGTAACCACCGAGGACTAAACAGCTCAGTGGTTTCTTGTTTTTTAAAAAAACCCAGCAGCCTCAAAGCTGAGCAACAAAATGCTGCTCAAGTAAATTAACACTGAATATTTGGCTTTGATTAAAAAATGTAGAGGCACAATTTGAGGGTGTCTCAGTCGACTGTGTTCTCCTCCTTCGCCTCCTCATGACTCGGCGGATTTAATTAGCCGATATAAATGTCAAACCGCTGCTTGTCCAGCGTCTGAGCATCTCTCTGCCTCCTCCTCAGTCGTGATCCAGTCGTCCGGAGGCCTCAGCAAAGACGACATCGAGAACATGGTGAAGAACGCCGAGCGGTACGCCGAGGAGGACAGGAGGAGGAAGGTGAGACCGTGTTTGAAGTTCGTTGTGACCTTAGTGACATGTTAGCACCTGTGAACCTTCACGAACCGCGTTGTCTCTGCAGGACCGCGTGGAGGCCGTCAACATGGCCGAGGGCATCGTCCACGACACGGAATCCAAGATGGAGGAGTTCAAGGACCAGCTTCCTGCCGATGAGGTACAGCTGCAAACTCACTTGTTCTAATTAACCCGGGCTGTAAATTAATTCATTTATTGGACGCATTTAAAAAACAGAACAAGGGTTAAACTTATACATACGGTGGTGAGTTGGCCTGCATGTCTGCAAGTCAGGCTGAAAATGACTCAAAAAAAAAGAGCCTCAAAAGTTGTTTGTAGTAGAGACCAACCCTTATTGAAGTTTGTTTTGGCCGAGGCCGGTTATTGGTAGTTAGGAGGACCGATAACTGATATTTGGTACTGATATACGTTAAATGTAATGTTTCACCAGCATGTGACAGCAAAGAACCTCTCATTCGTAATTAGGGTTCGTCATTAGTAAGGGTAATTATAACTGAATGTGGTAAATAGAAATAGGAGTGAAGAAATAAGGACGCTTTCCTCTGTTTATGTGAGATCCACTTATGTCAGATTGGTTTCATCACTTTTATTGTCCACAAAGGTCCAGATCTTAAACAAATATTAATGATTGATGTCCAGACTCTGTTTCAGGGTGATTTGTGGCTGCCGTCTAACTTAGCCGCTAGCTGTTAGCGTAGCCTTAGCAACTGTGAGAGGAGCTAACTTCCTGGTTTGTGGCAACTGCTTGTGTTTCCTGTTCAGTTTTTGCAGCCTTTGATTGAGAGACATTTCTGGGAGCACAGACAGAAAGAGGAGGCTGCTCAGACCTGAAGTAGAGGATTTAATTTATCAGTCACTGGTCAATAAAAACGCTAAATATCGGCCACGCTCATCGGTCTGTCCCTAATCAGTACTACGTCTTGTTGGATAGATACGAGTGTTATGATTGATGAAAGGTAAAAACACAGGCGTGGTTTTTAAAAAATCATTCAAATAGGCAGAAATAATCAGAGAAAGTTGATCCTTTCTTGGTGGTTTTTGTGGAAACGCGTAACACTGAATTCTAGTTTTAGGCGAGTGAACTGTGGATGTTGTTTGATTTTAAACGGTCGACTCAACAAGCCAAGCAGCACAACACGTCTTTGAGCCGCCTGTGTTCATTCATGTTTCCTCTCCACACAGTGCGCCAAGCTGAAGGAGGAGATCACGAAGGTCAGGGACCTTCTGGCCAACAAGGACTCTGAGACGGGAGAGAACATCAAACAGGCGGCCACCAACCTGCAGCAGGCGTCACTCAAGCTCTTCGAAATGGCCTACAAGAAGGTAAGAAGGAGCTCAGTGTGATGCTGGTAGAAGATGTAGAGCAGCTTCTGTCTCCCCCTGCTGGGTCTGGATGTTACTGATGATCACTTCTGGTCCTCTCCTTCACTGTGTCTGAGGAAGATGAAATATTTTGAATGTTTTGTGTGCCGCGAGCCGTTCTGTTTCCACACCTCCTGTTTGTGTGGTTGTGACATTTCCACTGGATGAACTGAACTTGTCCAGTCTGGCAGCAGTGGAGCTGCAACACAGTGAGAGCAGAAGTTATTCCTGAAGGAAGATACCGAGTAGAAAAGAGGTTTTATGTTAAATCAACAGAGCTGATGGGACTGCAGAATGTTAATGGGTGAAAACTACACAGTCAAGTCAGTGTTTTATCACCTTATGAGAGACGTTTATTCAGATTAACGCACCTTAGACTGACTTTATTAATCCCAGAGAGAAATTCAGCAACAATATTCAACAAAGGGGGTAAACAAAGCAAAAAGACAACACAGAACATTAACCTGTCCTTCAAACGACTGCTGCTCCTGGTTGGACTTCTGGTGCAGTCGTGTGACATACGACTGTTAAATCATTTAAAAATCCTGTCACTTTAATATTTCTGGTTGTTTGTTCGGGACGTCACAGTGAAAGAAATGTGGTAGTCGATAGCACAGGAGGTCCACAAGTCTTCATACCAAAATAAAAAACTACCCATCGAATGTATTTCAACAAATACAAAAGATAATCTTGTATGTCCACAGAGCTAACAGTGAGGTCGGCAGCCTGCCAGCTTTAAGAGCAGCTGAGTCGCTTACTGACGCTTTGTTAGCCTAAGCATGCTAATGTTAGCATTTATGTTTTTTAAAACAAATCGGCTCGTACAAGAACAGCTGGAAGTTAAATAGGATGACATTTAAGAACCTGAATTGCTCAAATGATAAAAACGAGTCGATTGTTTTGCACGTTACTTGTGAGTCTGTAGAAGCAGCTGCAGCATAATCACATCTAGAGCCTTATAAATACATGAAACTCAGTCTGTTACACCTGAAAGAGAAAGACGACCACTCAGCTTCAGCATACAGCCCACAGTGACGAGTGGTTCAACTGGAATCACCAGTAAAACATCTGAGTGCAGAAGGAGAAACGGCACCGACTCACTGAAGAGATGCTGATGATGCATGAATAAGATAAAATCACTCAGTGTAGAGCTTCAAATGTTCATATTTAGGATATTAAAGACCCCCAAACCTCAAGGCTTTTAGTTTTCTGTCGCAGAATAAATGGGACAGCAGAAAAGAAGAATTAGAAAAGTTGTTTGTTGTGGATTAGAAGATCTTTGTATTATTTATCAGCAGATTAGAAGAAACTTTCACTTGCAGTTAGTGTTTAAATGGTTTACTTCCTGTTTACCGTTGTCTGTCGGTGGAAAACTCCATGTTTTCTGATCTCTTCTGCGTCTTTTCCCGTTCCTGCAGATGGCAGCAGAGCGAGACAGCAGCTCCAGCAGCGGCGGCAGCAGCAGCAGCAGCTCATCGGAGGGCGAGAAGAAGGAAGGCCAGCAGTAGACGCTGTCGCACTTTGTTGTCACGAGATTACCACGACAACGGAGGACTGTTGGGCTCGGCTGGCGGACTAGGCGGGGAGGGTGGCGGTCTCGAGTCATTCGTGCCCTAATATATTATTCTACTGTGTTTTGGCAGTAAAATACTCTCTAGAAAAGATAAAGGTGGGCGATGAAACGCTCCACCGTGGCCCCATGATATCCTGTCTGTAATTTAACTGTGTCCGGCACAACGTTGTGTTCGTTTATTTTTACGAAGCTGTTAATTTACATTTTGAAGTAGTGTTTGTTTGTTTGTTTTTTTGTTGTCCAAGACATCATGCAGGTTTCATCCTTTAGCTCACGTTTCATCTTCTTCAGACGCAGAGAGCAGCTCCGTCTACGTGGTGATCTATATTTTACCTCCATTAGCTTTCATTTCATTGTTCTTGGAATCTGTGAAAACACACCTGCAGCGTTCAGGAAGGAGTTCGGTCCCGTTGCTCGGACGTAAAGCTCGAGAAAGTTCAGACTAAAGGGGGAGGGGGAGAGCAGAATAAATAATAAATATGTGTGTGTGTGAGGATGAAATCACGCTTTTAGTTAATTTTTCCTCATTAGAATGTAAGAAGCCCCCGAGTTCTTTGCATCCTTTGTAGCCGAGCCGTGCCGCGGCCCGACTGGACGCTGAAAGTTGCACAACGGAGGATGTGGCCTTGGTTCTCCTCTCGGTAGGAGGAGGAGGAGCCGGGATCCAAAGAACCGGTGCAGGATTCTTTAGTCATTCCCCTGCAGGAGGAGGTTTTTGTTGCTGCCATAAACTGCTCTGTGTAATATGATTGTGGCTGCGCGCCTGCCCGATAGTGATCCAGAGATGAACGGGGCAGGTTTGAATTGAAATCGGGGGGTTGTGAGCGGGGTGGGGTGATTATATTACTGAAAATCGAGGGTCACAATAACTGTTGCTGTCTTTTCTAATAAAAATCTGAAATGTTACGCCGTGCAGTTTGATTTTTAACGTGTGATGTGGCTGGAGGAGGGACAGGAGGGTGTGTTTATGGGTTGATTGGACAGATTTCTGAAGCCAAGAGGACAAACCAGCAGCACTACAGAGGCCATGACAGTCCTGGGAGTCGCTTTGTGTGAGTGGAGCATTAAAGCAGCCCGACGGCTTCCACTGATGTGCTGC